GACAAGCAGGTGGCACCACTAGGACAAGCTACTGGTCAGATGTGTGGAGAGACAAGCCCTCACAATAATAAAGCATGTTTTTTAATGTTTATTTACATTTTTTAGCAATTATAAAACATATTTAAACATTCTAAAACATATTTAAATTAAATCTAGATGCGTTAAAAGCCATACAGTGGAATATTTGAGATCAAGTAATAACATGTCCATGGAGACAAGCAGGTAGGACATAAACACCATAAATATTGACCAACCTTTTAAGTGGCTATCACAGCATTTCATTGTAATGCGCTTCCCTGTTACACTAGCTCCCTGTGAATAACATCATGCACATTAGCATCTAGCATGTAGCCACACAGTGCTGTTTCTCTGGCCCTACACTCACCTCATCATCATTACCAGCTCACCGTGGCAACGCGACACAGCACCGTACGCACAAGCTGTCAGACATGCAACTGTACCACATTCTGCGTATTATGCATAATATTTACTTTACTTGCAAACACACACCTTTGCCTATCTCGTTATCTCAGGACCCCTCGTGCTGCTGCTACATTCGTTAGGGGAGAGTACATGGACCGACCCCCCCTAGAGGAAGCGCGGTGACAGTTTTTACACCATTAGGTCCTTACAAGGCTTCATGTAATATTCAAACGCTGTAGGCAAATCATTGTCCCTCTCCTTTTGCTGCTAATAGGTAGAAAAACATTTGCCCGACAGTGGATGAAGGGACAAAAAATACAGGTTTAGAGGAAATTTGCTGAGTGGACTGCTGTAAATATTGTGGCTATGCTAAAATCACCCAGTATGCAAAACAATACTTGGGTGTGTATAATTTATGAAGTTATATAGTTAAAGGACTAATTAAAATACCAGTGTTTATTTTATTTCAGTTATATTTATTCACAGGATTTAATAATGTGGACATCATACAGACTAGATGTTTAATTACATGATTAAGATTGTGTATTAAAGGTGGCTTTTTTGTGACTTATTGTCCTCACAAAAAACACATGGAATCACCTGCTTGTCCTCATAGAGATACATATGTTTTCTATCTCCTGCATTACCTGATCAGACAGAACCACACACTGACAAAACTTAACGAAGATATGTGCGTCTGGAACCATGCTGTATTTCCCTAATATCAGATTGGTGTGATTGACAGGAGAATTAATGAATCAGAGAAACGCATGGTCTGTTTGTGCAGCAAAAAAACTGAAGCTTACACGTAAAAAGGAGGAAAAATAAGACAGAGACCTGAGAAATAGATTTCTGCTAAATTAACAAGCAGAGCACTACACTGTTACTTATCCTGGGTAAAAGAAGTTATACAATTTGCTGTGAATGATACAAGAATTTCCAAGAGATGTTTTCCGTGTTTTGAGAGGCATGTGATAAAAATTTGCAGCTGTGGTTGGATTGTTCCGAGTTAGTACAGAGGTTGATCACTCTGTGGAATATTCTTATTTACTTTAGAGGCCCACTCAGTACTAGTGTGTCAGAGGTGGGGTTCGTCTCCACACTTTGTTCAAGGATTGGCCATTTTTGCCGAGTAAGTTGAGTAACTTTAAAGTTTGTCTGATACATGGATGACCAGATGGCGTGTGATGCACATGTCGTCTGAGAGCTCCTCTGAAAGCCTTTGTTAAGAACAGGTGCTGAGGTGATTAGAAAGACCATCTGCCAAGAGCCAGGTATGTTTTAGGAGAGGCATCGTCATCAGGAGAAGCTTATATAACACCAATCAAATTTCTTTTATGTAATAATTATGCTTTTAAAAACATACCTTGAGTAGTATTTTGTTTCACTGAGCTACTTGAAGAAATTTTCCAGATGACAAAATAGATTGAAATACAAGTTTTCACCAGCTATACCTTCCTATTAGCCTGATTCATCAGCCGGTTTTACTTCGTAGAAACCATCTGACCTCGTAGTGTTTGCTTGAATTTGTTTGCTCGACGGTAGGTGGGAACTTTTTTAATTTAACCAATTGCTGCTATTTGGTAATCATATTTGTAATGCATGCTAACGGGGCTAACTGGTATATTAAGCTTTTCCCAAATCCTGTAGGATGAAGGGTAATAACGTCTTTCCCCTTGATAAAATTCACCAAACATTCTCTTTGTTCCGGCTTTAAATCCTCGATCTCGGGAATCGTTGACAACACTGAATATATGACTCTTCACTGATTGACTGGTGCCCAAACTTGCACTTCCAGGGTTTTTACGAATCGTCTAGTATATTCCGATTCCTGACCTAGCCGCTGGAGAGAAATGAAATTGAGCAGAGGCACTAGGTGGTGCTAGCCTGGCTACCTTCCTATACCATGGGGTTTTCCAGTCTTTGTTAGTGGAGGCCTAAGCACTGCCATTGAATAATAGAGTTATTTAGAGTTTATTTATTTTAATTTTGTCTGGAAAAACACAAATTAATAAGTCAAAAAGGTCAAAACACTCAGCTTTAAGTAACTCAGATTTAAAAGTTCAAACTACCAAACTAGCCCAATTAATATAAACCAACATTTCCTTTGAGTGCATTATCAGCGCTTGGACTGGTAGAAGATTTCCTGTGCACTTGGGAACCCTGACAGGCTAATCGTGCCTTGGAAAACTGTTGCATTCTGGGACATGAGCCCAATGACCCTTATGATTTGGGGGAGTTAGTTCTGGAAACACTTGTCCCGCGTGTTATAATTGTTTCCTCAGTTCGGTGCTTTGCCTGAATTTATGATCAGAGCAACTGCACTGGAGTGGTCCACTGCAGTCTACGGGCCGTAAATCATGTCAGAGCTAGTACAGAACAGAGAGAGGGTTAAGGAATATTTATTTTTCTCACTTTTAACCGCAATTACACGGCCAAGCAAATAAATATTACTGGGGTAACAATTAAAAATAAAATGTTTGAAGTAAATGCAAAAAAAATGACGTTTGTATGATATTTTAAATAGACTACATTATACGCGTTTTCTCACCTATGTTATAATGTTTTCTCGTCAAAAACATTGCATGATTTACTTTTATAGTCGCCAATTAGAGTCTTTGCAATGACAAATAACTAGCAGAATTGTGTGTTTCTGAATTTTTACCCTGGTTTTACATTGATTTGACACAGAACACTTTAAGGTTCAGTTGAGGGCACTCGTTGACTCACATCTCACTCATTCCTTACAGTTGTCCACCAGAGACCGGCTCTTTCCAAATAAAATACAAGAGCTTTAGGACATAAATACCTCAGATACTGTCCAATTGTATTCTGTTACTACACTACAAAAAAGTTAATGAAAGTTAGAATGACTCAAAATTCAGAATGAACAAGAATGTATAGGCCTGAAATATTGGGCTACTTTCAGTGTTTGTTTTTTCGACTAAATTATTTCCAATCAGTTGATGGAGAATCTTAAGAGGAGTCTAACTGAGAATAATCAACACACATTATTAACCAGAACTAAACCAGGTAAAACTAGATTAAATTGTGATCTCAACCATGTGATGATATGATAGTCTGTTAAAGTACCAATATATTGATTTGGTGTCTATTGTTCAACTTCTGTCATAATCATAAAAGTTTAATTCAACCAACTGCACTAATTTGTGAACTTTCAGAAGACGCAGATAGCTTTGGTTACATCTAAAACGGAAATATAAACACTAGAGTCATGCCCTGTGCATCGATTAGTCAATTTAAGTGTGGCACTGATAAAAGCTTTCAGAATGAATGGTATCTCATCAAAAACAACTAAAAGAGCAGTACTAGTAAATGATGATGGTCACATTTTTATATTGCACTTTTCCACATTCGAGGCGCTTAACATCAAAGAATCATTCACCCATTTACACAGACATTCAAAAGTCCTACACAGACGCTGGGGGCAAGGTGGGTTAAATGTCTTCCCTCAGGACACACCAACAACATTCATTTGTGGGAGCTGGAATCACAAATGCCAAACTTGGGACAGTGGATCTGAACTTTCTACAAATGATGTGTTACATGCAAGAATTTGTGTGTGTACTGTGTACTGCTGTCTCTGCCCTGTCTGTGTTCAGGTGCTGTGGGCGGGACCTGACTGGCCAGCTAGCAGCCAATCAGGTTGGAGAGGACCATTTAAAAAGGGCTGTGTGATGCTATTCTTGCTCTCTGTCTGTTATGTTACCTCTGCTAGCCAGGTATTGTTTGGTTGGGAGGTTGGTTATGCAAGTGGGATCCCTATACACCTTGCACCACGTAGTTTTCTTTGTTAGACACACTAGTTTTATCAGCTGTTGCCACCCTTGTTGTTTTGAAGTATCCAAGATCTCTTTTTAGATCAGACAGACTAGGCTTTTTTGATTTCTTTACTTTTGTAGCCTAGTTTTCAGCTAGGCCTGTTTTATTATATTTTCGGTTCTTTTATTTGGCACAACTGGCACGCGCCTCCTCCCACCAACCTTTTGTTTGTTTGTTTTTTGTATACATATTGGTGAATGTTTGGCCTCAAAATAAAACTTAACAAACTGAACTTTGTCTCAGTGATTGCTTTTTAACAGTTGTGTCCCTTGTTGCATCTAGGGGACATAACATGATGTTAATTCTGAGAGCAGGATTCGAACCGCTGACCTTCAGATGAGTGGACAAACACTGCCAACAGAGCTAGTGTTGCATCTAAAAAGACAAGACCCATACAACTCCAGTTAACAAGTTAACTTCTCTTTCTAATTGTTGTGCATCTAAAGTCTTATTATCTCCAATTAAACAACACAACTTCTAAATAACTACAGCTCTAAATGAACTGGCATAAAATCAAAATTGTAATCTCGGCTCCAAGATAAACAGTTACTGACCTATTTTCCACCTCTACTAAACAATGAAACCAAACGTCACCACTCCAACAAAACACAAATGACCTTATTCTACTCAAACGAGATTAACGCTCAGAATTACAGCCGTGTAGATGTTTTGTTTTTGCAGTGAACCTTACAATGACATTTGCAGATGTGGAGATGTGTTTTCTTTGGCCTTACCCTGAGTTTCCGTCCGAACACGACTACTTTGCCTCTGGTCTGCTCCTTCCTGAACCTCCACTCCACCAGGTTCTGTCCGTTCTCCCCGGGCAGCGTCATGTTACGGCGGGCTATGGTGGGATTCGCTGCACCTGCAAAACCGATGGAGAAACCAGATGAGGAATTTTATGGATGAACTAAATCAAATGCAGTGGACAAGGTGTTTAGAGGGGTCTAATAGAAAGACATGGCGGGTAAATGAGGGCAGACCGAAGCTTCTGTGAAAACGTGTAATACGGGAGACGTAAAGGTCAGGTGATGTTAGGACAAAGTATTTATAGGCTGTTCAAATGATATTCTAATTTGACTAACACACTCAATCACAACAATATATGTTTTTACAACATTTATTTTTATTAAGTATTTTTGTTTATGTTTTGTGTTTTGGTTCTAAACTTGCTTATCTATTTAGAAAGTAAAATGAGCTCCTCACCTTGACAAATCAGTTAGCAATGATTATTAGTATTTGTTTATTTAATGGGACCGAGCATTTTAATGAGCAAACATGAAATACATAATACAAGTAAACATGCCAGATTGTTGACACAGGTGGATTTTTATGTGTTGTACCATATTTGTGCTCAGAAAGTATAAAACAGTGTGAAGTAAGTGAAAGCATGATTTGTTTTTTAAGTAGTCATAGTCATCCCTCTGCATGGGCCTATATCTGTGTTTATCCAGGACCTCAGTGATGGACATGTCTCTCTATTCTGCTACATTCTTAAAATATATCTGCTTTACTTGGGACTCTTATATTCATATATACACACTCATTTGTACTCTCAATAGCCTAAAGGTACTGTATATATAAGCATCTATTCACCTGGGTCTAGTGTTATTTCTTAACATTATTATGTATTTATTTAGCGACAACAACCATCTCCCAATATCAGTAGGGGTGGCTGAACTGTCTTGCCTGTTGACACAACAACAGTTAGCTTTGGTTCAAGAAGGGTTCAAAAACTGGTCACGTACAGGTTGATGAACAATTGCTCTAACCACTGAGCCACTGCTGCCTCCCATACAAGTAATAACCAAGTGTAACCATGCTTAGCTTCCGAGATCAGATGAGGTCAGGCAGTCTTAAAGTGGTACAGTAAACCTGTGACGGCCATCTATGATGAGATGCATCCTCAGTATGGAACTCTTAAAGGACACATATTATGAATTATGTTTTTTTTAAGCTTGTAGCCATGTTATAATATTGTTTGCTCATCAAAAAAAAAATCATATCTTGAGTTATATTTTACTTAATTCCCACCTGTTAATAAATCCTGTTTAGTCAGCCTCCTTGATCTGAGTACTCTAATAACATGTGATTTTGAATTTCACAGAATTGTTACGTCACAGGTAAAAGTCTGGCCGGCTCCTGCTCGGTTTTCAAGTTGATAAATCATAACCGGACTCGTTCTAAGCATTACTGCTGTCAAAGCATGTTCATTACAAGGGCATGCCTGTGGTCAGAAAAATTTTGTTACCCTAGTTGTTGTTTCAAGAGCAGTTTAAAGGTCAGTACCAATACAAATAATGCATAATGTCAATACAATCTAAAGTTTAGTTCAGTCATAATCAGTGATGAGAAGAATACTTTGAAAATGTTACAAAATGCTGTAAATGAATATGTACATTTTGTAATGTATTCTGATACAAGTGCCAATTAGCGTACTGTATTCAGAATACTTTTACAGTCACATTAATAATAAATATAATAGTGTAAAAATGCATTAGAGGATTAGAAACGGCTTTATAGTTGTTTCACCATTTGTTATACATTTCTCATCACTAGTTGGAGAAGTTGACATCACACATCCACACACCAGAAGAGAATACCACCATATGAAAATGTAAACATATATCACAATACATTTATTCAAAATACGTTTTCTCAGTAGATGTATTCACTTACTTCCCAACACTGGTCATGATGCTTAATCAGGCGGTAAGATTTCAATATGTCCATTTTAGTTCTACATCTAAACCTGTTTTCCTGAACACGAGTCCTCCAATACGACAAACAGCCCATGAGCAGCTTGTCTGGTTGGCAGTGGAGTGTGCACAATAGAACATAATCGAAGCACATGTTAGACCTGGGCACAAATAGAGCTGTGGTGTGGTGTTTACCTGCACAAATGAGATCTGCAGAGCAACTCCAAACTACATGTGACACTGCTGTCTCCAGCAATCTACATCACAATAACATGTTTCTGCAGCCATCAACGTGCTACAATGAGACCAGGCTGTGCTAGGGCAGAGGCAGAGGGGACAGTGTTTTAATGGACTAAAATTAAGATAAGACCAACAAGGACGGGAGAACGAAACTGAACTAGGACTAAACCCGGGCTGTTCCAGGACTAAACCAAACCTAGGACTAAATCAGGGCTTAACCAACACTGAACCAGGACAACACAACAAGAAAGACCAACAATAACATTCATTGTTATTTCGGAATATTGCACCAAAATGTCTACTTGATGCTGCAATATCCTACATTTATCACAGATAAAGAACAAAAAATTTAGTAAATTGAGTAAAATTGGAGAACAAAATAATAAATAGAGAGCACTGGGTACCATCATTACAGTGGTGGTGAAAATGGCGGTGCAATGATGTCTTGAATTCAGGAGTATAAAGATTACTCAAACATGTGTGAATCTCTCTAAATCCAACTTTCAAAGGGGAAATGTGAAGGGGAAACAACTATAATAAGGCCAAAAGTATTTTTTTGCATAACAGGTCCACTTTAAATGTCAAATGCAGTTTATAAAGCTTGAATCCAGTACAATATACAACATATACAGTCAAATAAAAGTTGATATTTTCCTAACAGCTAAAAGATTGAGACCAACTCACAATACATTCTCCATTGTCAGACACGACTATTGTCCCATATTTCTGTAAAAATATGTCTAGCCAAAACTGGAATGCTATTCACCATGCATCAGCCTGTTTTTGACAATACCTAGCCTTGATCAGATAGGGCCTCAGCACAAGTGGGTGTTTTGAGAAGAATGTGGGAAGAATTCAGATTGACCATAATGACTATATGCAACAGACTTATATCTGAAAAAAATAAATAGAATGTTTCTAGTGTGACAAGTTGATTTATATATCCTACAAAACTACAGTTACAGCTGTAGTAGTGATAATATCTCTTTTACTGCTACTATTATTACTACTTCCTACTACTATTACTACTACTACAATTAAAACAAAATGTAACAGGAAGCTGAAACCCATGGATAGCTCCCTTATTTTAAGCATTTCTACTTCTCAGTACAGCTACTATGACTAACACTAATACTTCCAACACTACTACTAATACTAGTACTACTATACTAGTAAATAATAAACAGTGTAATAATGATTTATACCTGCGAGTATATGCGGCTCTGTCTGGTAGTGACTGTCCATTCCATTGGCGTAGATGACTCGGAGAGAATGATCGTTTCCCACTTGATAACTGTTTCGGAGTTGGTCTGTGAAAAGAAGACAACAAATAACTAAATACAAAAGAAAGAAAGAAAATTATGTTTTATCAAAATTCAATAGGCATGGTTAACTATAATGATTATGACACCATTAAAATATGCATATATTGTCAATAATGCATGTCTGGAATGTTCCACTGTATGAGATTAAAGTCTCTGTGTAGACATGCGCTTGATGCCAACAGGCCAAGCTACAGGTCAGATCTGAGGAGAGGCGACCCCACTTACACTAAGGAATTTTGAGCTATAAAAACATCTGCAATTGAATACATGCAAGATAAATGGGTTTGATGACATACTGTGGAACATTCCAGGAAAAGCACTAACATGTAGAGACAAACAGGCTGTGTATCTCAGAAATATTACATAGTGTAGCTTAAAACTGAAACTACAATTTGTTTCTAAAAGTCCAACAGTACAATTTTGCTTCAGTTAAAATTTTACTTCATCAAATTAAAAAGCAAAAATGGGCTATTTTTAAAAAGTCTTAGCTGTGATGAACAAGATTAAACCAAACAGACTGAACTGACTTATAGTGGTGATATTTTTACAGGAGGATTATTGCACATTCTGGTTTGGGAGAAAAATAAATTTGGATTTGCATAGTATCTCCCTATAGTCTCAGTGATTCTCAAAGTGTGGGCCAAGTTCCTTCCAGTGCTACTCAAACGTTTTCAGTCTCTGTTCATTTTATCTGTACTATCTATAATCTATTTCTGGTATACATTTTAGTCCAGTTTTAGACTTGATTTAGTCTGGATCTCTTGTAGTAGTAGTAGTAGTAGTAGTAGTAGTAGTAGTAGTAGTAGTAGTAGTAGTAGTAGTAGTAGTGACTAATAGTAGTGAATGATAGTAGTAGTAGTAGTAGTAGTCATTTTTAGTTTTTTAGTTTTCTCAGTTCAAGGCAAACTACATGTTCTGTTTAGAAAGACTGAGTATGAATAATGAGTATTAGCAGCAGCAGCAGTAGTAGTAGTAGTGAGTAGTAGTAATAGTAGTAGTAGTAGTAGTGAGTAGTAATAGTAGTAGTAGTAGTAATAGTAGTAGTAGTCATTTTTAGTTTTCTCAATTCAAGGCTCAACTACATGTTCTGTTTAGAAAGACTGAGTATGAATAATTTGTACTAGCAGCAGCAGTAGTAGGAGTAGTATTAGTAGTAGGAGTAGGTAGTAGTAGCAGTAGTAATAGTAGTAGTAGTAGTATAAATAATATTGGTTGTCATAGTAGACATAGTTGAAAGTACTTGCAGTAGCAGTAAACTGGCATTTGACCTCATTTAAGGCTAAACTGTAGTAGTAGAAGTAGTAGGAGTAGTATTCATTCAAGGTTAACCCTGCTGGAATTTCACGATGCCTGTTCTATTTTCTTTGGAAAGGCCCAGAATAAATAATGCACATTTATAGATAAAGGGGAGTGGTTCTCGTCAATGCTTTTGAATAACTTATTTACTTTGATTCACGTAGTGCTCGATGCAGGTGCTACAGATAGTGCTTGTGTTTGCTCCATCACAAACAGACTCAGTGGAATACCTGTACCAAAGTTCATTTTCCTTCATTTACACAGGCTATTTAGCTAAAGAAGACCTTCCCTTAACATATGAGTTTTTTGTTGTTGTTGTTTTGGATATTCGTTTTTTAACATAATTTATTCATGCTCTTCAGTGAAATACCAAGCTATTTTAAATACAAACTTCGTATAAATATTTTGACATCTAAAACTTACCAAATCATTAATTATTTAGCATTTTTTTAACAGTAATTTTAGTCATTGTGTGCTTTTTATATTAAAAGTGCGCTATGGAACTTTTCTAGTGAAGATCTGTCACATAGTTGTCTCCGTGGTGATGTTGAACTTTTGTCTGGTATGTTCCACACTATATGGAATGAAGCGTATTACCTCCATGTAGACAATTACAAGTCTAATCTGTGGAGATGCAAGCCTGCTCAGAGTAAGAATGGGTGTTTTTTTAAATGTCCCATATTGCACAAATTGACGCTTGTGAGCTTTAAACCAGGATAAAATGTTGTTTCTACATCAAAAACAGACCTGGAGTTGAATTTTGTTTCATTTACACATATTTGAGTAACTCTTTATTATTAGTCTGTCTGCATGTCCAAACCTCTAAATTCTCCGTTCCACCTTGTGATGTCATGAAGTGGTAGTTTACAGGTTAACAGCTACATTTTACCTTTTGTTTAGTAGAGATTAGGAGAACACCAGGGCTAAAATTACCCAAATGATTCTAGTGTATGGATCTTAAAAATACAGTGGAACATTTCCTGTATCACCACATGACATCACAAGGTGGAACAGGTGGAATGTTTTTCTGTTTGAGATAAGAAGTCAGTCTAAATATGCAGGGTTTGCATGTGTTAAACATGTGTGAGTGAAACAAATAAAACAAAACAAAATTCTAAGGTATGCTTTTGACGAGGAAACAACTTTCAAAAAATATATCTTTTCCCATACCAGAAAAGTTACGTACTACCCCTTTAATACTCATAAAAGTACAGTTCTTGATTTTGCTATTGAGGAACAGATCCAAAGTTGATTTTGATAAAGTTTTAGTGTCAGATAAAACAATATTTTTAGCCAGAAGTTTATGTTGAGGTTGCACTTGGAGTTTCAGTGTGTGGTTGTGAGCTGGAGGCATTATAGCCATTTATGTTGGAATCAAAGAGTCCACACAGAATCAATGTAAACTGCTCTTTTCCCATGATGCACCAGCTACAGACGGTGTTAGAGGAGCTATAGGGCCGGTAGCCTTTCCACGAGCGCAGAGGTTAAAGGTCAAACAAGCAGAAATACAAATATATATATAAACACACAACGTCTTACAAAGTTTGTATTGTACTTTCTGACAGGGAGCAAGAGGACACAAGAAGAAAATAAAATGTAAAAGTTATTAAAAAGACCGTTATTGCAAGAAATAAGCTAAATTACTATTATTATTTTTTATTTTTTTACTTTATTGAAAACTATTGAGAACATATTATGAAAATTATAATACCTTGCCAGTTTCTCAAAGATCTTTTCTGAACTTTTGTTTCAATTAGTGATGTATGATTTAATCATTTTACTTCTAAATTGGAATTTGAATAATATTATATTGTTTAAAGTGTAGGAATGTTTTAAACAAGCAGAATTTGAAAACATCTGTAAACAGTTATGGAGATCAACTATTTTGATTACGTTCAATGTACGATAAATCATTTTTGGTAAATCATTTCATCTTCTCATATAATTTTAAAAGTGCAATATGTGACTTTTCTTGGGATACGTATATACATTTGAGCAATAACAATAAGTGTAAGTGAATAAATACAAGAAAGATCAATGCCATACTAAGGAACATTCCAGGCATCTCCATGGAGCAGGTGCTGAATCCTTTTGAGAAGCTATATAGTGGATCCTTACATTTCCTGACAAAGTCCATTAATAATTCATGAGTTATAGAACATTCCTCTAGTTGAATATTTTTCTTTGTATAAGTAGGTAGAACATAAGACTTTCCTCCTTCAAAACTCCTGCCTCTTGTTGTGTACTTGGTGCAGTGTTTCCGCTCTGATATATTCTTTTCCAAACTGTAACAGGAACTAACTCTTTAAATTGAAAATAAAGTGTTTTTTAGTTCAGTAAAAAGATGAAAACTTCAACTCTCATTTCCTTGGGACAATCATTTTATATTACCGCGCTCAGAGGGAGGGGCCCGTCAGGCTGTGGCATATCCTGTGGCCTGATTCTCTGTCTGCCCATAATCAATAATGTCCACCATATTGTGTTGTTTTATCAAGCACACAAGATTTAACAAATATGTCTGAAAGTTCTGGTGCTTCATTTTTTGAGACCATTTTTAAAAAGTCTGAATAAATGTCTGTCTATTTGTATTATTGTATTGTCTGTCGGGGTGTATTGTTTTTACTGTGATTTTGTTTTATGATTACATCAACCTGCCTAGGGACAGCAGATGGAAATTAGCCTTGGGCTATAATCTGATAACATATTTACATATCATGTATATGTTCATTAATGTGTTTTGTCCCTATTTTCTTAAATAAATAAATAAATAAAATCAACCTTGCATTTTTATTTAATTGCAATTTGACATCAACCTGCCTTGCGGATTGCTATTTTATTAAAACTATTATAGCATATCGTCTTTCTACAAGACCAATATTTTATTATTTTTTAATTTTTATAATTTTTTTTGCATTGTTATTTGGATTTTGGTTAAAATTGTTCAGGTAAATTGTAGTGAAGGTATATGTAGGATTAGTGATACATTTGCATCTTACCTTGCACAAGTGTGTAGAAGGAGTCTATGGAGGACAGGTTTGTGGTGATGGACACGTCTTCGTCTCTTCCCGATGTCTCAATGTCCACGGCAACGGCCCCTGACGACATGTCGCCATGGAGATTTGTCACAACACCCGTGGGGAAGGTCACGTTTGTGAGACGGCCCTCGCTGTCATAACTGCAACAAAGATGCTGATATTACTGATAGCAGTAGTAGTAGTAGTAGCAGTAGTAGTACTACTAGTAGTAGTAGTAATTGCAGTAGTAGTTGCAGTAGAAGTAGCCTAGTAGTAGCAGTAGCAGCAGCAGTAGCAGTAGTAGTAGTAGTAGTAGTAGTAGTAGTAGTAGTAGTAGTAGTAGTAGTAGTAGTAGTAGCAGTAGTAGTAGTAATGGCAGTAGTATTTGCAGAAGAAGTAGCCTAGTAGAAGCAGTAGCAGTAGCAAAAGCAGTAGTAGCAGTAGTAGTAGTAGTAGTAGTAGTAGTAGTAGTAGTAGTAGTAGTAGTAGTAGTAGTAGTAGTAGTAGTAGCAGTAGTAGTAGTAATGGCAGTAGTAGTAGCAATAGTAGCCTAGTAGTAGCAGCAGTAGTAGACGCAGTAAGTAGTAGTCAAGTAGTATGGGTAGTAGTAACTACAGTAGCAGTCGTAGTAGTAGTAACAGTAGTAGGAGTGGCAGTAGAAGTAGCAGCAGTAATCGTAGTAGTATAACATAAACAATACCTGTGTTGTCATGGAGGTGTTGTTATTTCATCTAGAATATTCCATAGTATGGCATTAAATGTATCTTTTGCATTTTCTCAGGTAGAGGTATCTTTATGGCTCCAAAGTACCTTGAAATGCATGTATTCTTACTTAAAGTGGGCTTGCCTTTCCACAGATCTGACCTGTAATTTGGCCTTGTCGTGTCACTTGCTTTTTTCCGTGGAGATAAATATGTTTAATGCCATACTTGAACATCCCAGACAAAGCAATAACATCTCCATGGTTACATACAAAGAGAACCTTTAATGAAAACAGAAATGCAGATTTAATAAGTTTGAAATCCTTTTGTTTATCCTTACTTTAGACATTGTTTTGTTGGAAATGTGAAGTGTCTTTCAAATCTCCATTTTGGGTTAAAAATATATTATAGTATGATTAAATTAGGAAACCACTGTCACAGCTGGTTATGTGTGGGAGAATGGTTTTCAAAGCTCCCACTGTGTTTGAACGCACATGAAAGCAGCACCATTTTTACTTTACTCATCTGTTATATTTATGATCCAAAAGGCTGCAGGCAAGTTCCCACCCTGGCGCCTATAGTGGTTCAATGCAAATGTAAAAACTATAGTTAAGGTATGAATACAGCTATTGTGAGTTTAGAAAGTACAAAGTAATATTTCTAAGGTGTAACAATTGAACAAAAGAATAAAGTTATTTTTCCTTCTCTGTAATGCAGGAGTGATTTTTTAGTTCTTGGTAAATAATAGTTTTCATTCTGTATTGAAAAGTGACATTGAGTAGTATTAAAAAAGTTTCCCTTTTCATTAAATATTGAAAAACCTGGCTTTGTCAAAGTATCAACACTAACTCACTACTACACATAGTACACATTTACTGACACTTCTTATAGTTTAGAACTTGTCAGAGTTTGCTATTGTGACTATGATAACTAATATTACCACACAGTATCACTAGTCTTTGTGAGGATACGTCCAATTGTGTTGAGATTGGAAAACAAAAACTATAATATACAATTTATATATATATTATATATATATATATATTTACCTCTTCTTAATTTCAGTGTAATATGAAAGTATAATATGTAAGTAAATGACTAACAAGCATTTTATGCCTAGATGCCCTTCCATTTGTCAGCCCTACTTTGACTTCCACTAAAATCTATACTTTATCTAATTCACTTGAAGAACCTATATTAATAATGTTGTTGTTTCCTCATCACAAACATATTTGGAGTTGAGTTTCATTCACACACATTTTTTTTCTTAAATGGACAACACCACCTTGTGATGTCATCTGGTAATACAGGAAGTGTTCCAATGCTTGTTTTGTTTTTAACTCCATACACTAGACATGTCAAACTCAGGCCTGGGGGCCAAATTTGGCCCGTGATATAATTATATTTGGCCCACGAGATCATATCAAATATGTATTAGAGATGCCCGCCGGCTACAGATAGTCTATAGAAACATTATTTATAGAATTTTTAAAAATTATTTTATATTATGCTTATTCTGGATTCAGTGTTTAAGCAAAACTATTATTAAACATTTATTTTAATAAGAAAAGGTTTAATATTACATATCTCAAAAGAAGAGAAAACATGTAGATCTTGTTGAAATTTTTCAATAAATATTTAGTTTGGCCCACGACTTACTCCCAGTTTTTAAAATTTTGGCCCTTTGTGAATTTGAGTTTGACACCCCTGCCATACGCCTTCACTAAAATCATTGGATAATTTCAGCCCTGGAAATGCCAATCTCTACTAAGTAAGAGGTAAAAGCTAAAACACAACTCCAGGTATGTTTTTGAGGAGGTAACAAAATTATAACATGCCTTAAAGCTTGCAAGAGTCAAATTTGCATAATGCAGGACTTTTAATACATTTGCTGGGTCACTACAGGTAACAAAATCTTTTAATCGTGATAATGTTGCTGATCTAATAAGGATTTACGTCATAGAACCTGATTTTTGTTCATGAATGAAGTGTAGAGAGATTTCAGTGCCCAAAATGTAGCAGATCTCGCCCACAACCCTAGATAATCGGCCTATCAAAATGTGAAAATAAAAAGGTGTAGCCAGTTTCTTTTGTCCCCTCTCTTTGGGCTGAGACTCCACTCGAGCCACTCACTCGTAGAAGGTGGTCCAGCCGATTTGGATGCTCTTGGTGGCCAGCAGTCCACTGTTGCCGTGGTAACTGAACAGCACCAGCTCCTGCCCCTGCGCCGTGAGAGACTTGAGCCCTCCGTTTGTCCCGATGGTGAGCCAGATGACCTGTAACACGGAGAGAGGCAGAGCACCGGTGTCACGCCAAAATCTGCACCCCCCAGGACAATGGAACAATACAGAAAGAAGTCAGGCTGAAGGGAGAGGGTTGAGGGTTCGAACCTGGTTGTCGGGGGCAACCACACGCACTGGCATTCGGTTTGTGTCGCGGCGTATTCGGAGGGTGTTCCCGCTGCTGTCTGTCACGGCTGTCACATCCTCCTCATTACTGAAAAGAGACGAGAATATGAGAAAATCTGTGGAATTCAGTGGAAACTTTAAAACTGCTATAACAATTTCTATGCAGCCATGTTTGAAAATCTTTTACATTTGATACTGTTTGTTTTATAAATATCTGTTTTGTATGAGATGTTTTGTCTGCGGGTTCTGTTGATGTCTCTTGGCCAGGAGGTGGAGAACAGATCTTTGAATCTCAGTGGGACTTTTGTGGTTAAAAACAAAACAAAAAAAATCCTGAATGATCCTCTGCATGCTCTTTACTCAGAGTATGAGCTATTACAATCAGGGAGAAGGTTCCAAAGGGGACAAGAACCTCTGTTTCCCACACTTTTATCAAATTTTAATGTGCACCAAAACACATTTAGGAGATTTCACATGTGCTCCGAAAGTGTAAAAGTTCAGCTGTTGAGGATTTATTGTACACTGCAAAAGCTTAAAGTGGCCTATAATGATGCCCTCAGAATGCTGCTGAAAAAGCCCTGGGCCAGTAGTGCTCTTGTAGCGGTGCTGGTGAACCCCAGGTGTAGTGCTAGTCTAGTGTAGCACCAGTCCTGTCTGTGTAAACACTAGTATAGCTGTGTTTTTGTTTGTTTTGTTTGTATATGGACCTTGCAGACTACACACTGTAAACTGAAGAATTGTAACTAACCATCTTGTGTCTTTTTCATGTACTCTGGCTTTATGGGTTATGCTTTTTATCTGTTACACATGATAGCAGCATGAGTGGATATCCAGAAATAAAAAAAATCTCAATAAATAAAATAAAGTTAATCTTAGATCTTAAAAACCCCAGCCTCACAGCTCGAGTACCTGTAGCTGAAGTTGTACTTGTAGTCCCCGGTGACCAGGGACATGGTGAACTGGTGTGTTCCATTCAGGTCAAACACGTAGAGCTCCTGAGAGGCTGGAGACGCCACCTCATAAGAGCTGGGGCCAGACGCCAGAGAGCCTACAGCAGAGAGAGAGGGTGGGTGAGTAATTACATAAGTTAATTTAAAATAAAACAACGCAAAGGGATGTGTGAATTGTGTTAACATAAACTTAAAACAGATCCTCTTCCTCCCATAATACATGGTCGAGAGTTAATTTAGTGTTTAAAATTAATTTGAATTCCTTATGGCCATTTAGTGATATGATAAAATAATCCCAAAAGCTGTGAGTGGAACATTTGCCAACTACTTTCTGTCAACTCATTTCCAGTTACACAAACAATCATTAATCATGTCATTGATGTTATAATGAAAAATACAAGACTATTGTCGTATGTTAAGCTTTTTTGTTATTTATTTAAGTAGGAAAGCACAACTCTAGTTCAGAATAAATTACAACTATTCTTTCTTTAAGAATACATTATATTTTGTTCAGGCACCTAGTCTTTAATTAGATAACCTTTTTTCATTATGTTCATTGGACATACTGGCTTATTAATACAAATGGGACCACTGACATCAAGCAGATTTTTCAGACCATTTTTCCGAAACCATCCTGTCAGGATTCAGAAAGGCCGGAATAATTCTAACTGGAACTGATGCTGAGTCTGACAACAGCTATACAGAAGAGGAAGTGGCGCTCTGTTTACCTCATGGATCTATGGTTTATCTCCGGAAGTGACACCGAGGAAGAATTCAATGGATTTAGTGATTTGGAGTGAGATCGTGAGTTTGGTAAACTTATGTTATGTTGTTTATGCTGTAATTATCTGAATAACTGTTAATATGTTATATGTAATATGTTAACATATTAACTCTCATTCAGCCAGTTGTTCTCTATTCTATTCTTATATATATATTCCTATAGCTTGCCTTTCAAGATGAAATGTCGGTTCCTGGTCTCTGATTTTATAAAATACAATTACCCCAAAAGTGCAACTTATATATGTTTTTTTCTTCTTCATTGCACATTTTTTGGCTGGTGCGACTTATAGTCCAAAAAATACGGTATTTAAGATCCAGTTTTCCTTTCTCTTACCTGTGGGCGGCTGGTTGCGTCTGATGGCTCTGATCCGGATGTTGCCCAGGTCAGCCACATAGAGGGTCCCGTCCGGCGACACCACCAGAGATGACGGGCAGTTTAGTCTAGCATCTTTAGCATAGCCATCCCCAGTCTGATAGCAGTCGCAGTTAGCGTCATTCTGTACATGTAGTATAGAGATACAAGGGAAGAGAGAGGGAGAGAATAACATTACATCATTAATTCAAGTGAACATTAAATAGTACAACTGGCCACCAAATCTTGCCAAAAAAAAAAGTAAAAATTTATTGTTTAAATCGTCCTCAAAATGGTGTTCAAAAAAGGTAAAAGTCATGCCTAAAAATATTTAATTTTCATTTTTATTTTAAACCTAGGTGTGCAAAAATAAGGAATTATTTACAGTAAAAGCTGCACTATGACCCTGGAATATTGTCAGTGACAGTGTGACAGTGTGGCATTTATTCAGTTAGAAGTGAGATTGCCTGTCCATAGATCTGACTAGTAACATGGCATGTGTTGGCATGACATCTCAATGCATACAAGTAGGTGGCAGAATATTACATAAAAATAATATGACGCCTTTTATTACATGTACATTTGGTGGGACCTCAGATAAATGTTGGTGGGGGATCATTTCCATATATTCTGGGGGTGTCCTAGACTGGTAACATTTTGGAAGGATGTGCAAATTGAAAACTGTTTGGGGATCAAAATTATATTAGAGCCTTCTATTGTGCTGTTGGGGATTTTTCCAAATGACATAAGAGCAAATAGTAGTTTTCGTTTGCTGAAAATTTGACTCTTAATTCCCAAGAAAATGATAACGGTCTCCTGGCTCAGGCCGCTGCCCCCCTCAATGACCCAGTAGAAAAGTCAAATAAAGGATGCATATCTTATAGAGCAAATAACTGCAAGGTTACAAATGAAGAAAGATTTATTCATGGATAAATGGTCTTCAATTGCAAGCCTATATTTCAAATGGATGATTATGTTTTATAGAATTTTTTTTTTGTGTGTATTTGTGAGTTTATGGACAATATTATGAATAGTAAATGAGGAGACAATGTGACTGCGTCTACACTGTACTTTATTGTCATTTTACTTTTATTGTATTTTTACTGCTGTTTCATAACTACATGGCTTGCACCAAAAATGATTTAATAAAAATAAGCAAAAAGATTACATTATGCGACAAAAAGTACATTGCCAATAAGTATAGGATAAGTATTATGTGGGAGTTAGTCGCTCATTTGATGAGCCCACCTGATCATAAACTCATGCTGCCCACTACTTGTATTGCATTTTATTGTGTCCTTGGGCAAGACATGGACATAGCATGTCCTCGGTCTGCTCCGTAGACTGTATAAAGAAGTCAAATGAAGCTCACTGAAGCTAACAATTATAGAACAAATTTGGAGCCGAGTTCCATATTAGGAATAAGAGCTGATTTATGGACAAAACTGAACATTTTAAGACCAAAATAAGGAGCCTAACAGCAGCAGTTATGGCGTGAGGTGCGGCGTTTTTTCAATACAAAGTGAATCAGGAAGAGAGTCGATGAAGCCGGAAGAGTGCCCATACTCACTTCCTGGCTCCTAACTAGATATGTCCATTTGTATATCAGTCTATGAGCTTCCCATATAGTATCACACCAAAAGACAGAGAAGCTGGGGAGAATAACGTTACATCAATAATTCAAGTTAACGTTTAATAGAGGACAAGTGGGCACCGGCTCGGACAGGAGGAGCAGAACCCCTCGTGAATGTAATGCTCTGATCCTGATGTATTATTAATAAATTGTCTGCACTGGAGATAAAAGTGAAATTCATAGTGGCGTTTTATTGCCTTATGTGCGCTTCTAATCTCAGCCAATTCACTGCGCGCACTTCATCCCTCATTGATATGGACAAGACAGTTTTGTGGTTGAGTCATTTCAGATCAGCGATTCTCGTTCTGATCCATTCTCCATGAGCCGGCTTTCGGCAGAATCAAAGTTGTTTCGCCAGCTACAGAGTCATACAGGATTTTTGACACAGTGGGTTACAAAATTTGAATCAAATCACACAAGATAATGGAAAATCAAAGAGTGAAATAATAGTATAGATGTCCCCAGTGCATTCACAACATGGTTAGCTGATATCGATTTTACAAAAGCAGAAGGAAAGAATAAACACAAAATCAAACTTAAAGTGCATAAAACAGGTTTTGATGATTCTCTAATTCTAACTTAATTTGATGGGATAATATCTGCTGTAGATGTAAATTATAGTTTTACACCAATTAAAAAGCAATTTGTGAAAGAAAATTGAAAAATATGTTGAAAATTACAGGAAGCAGAGAAATTTTAGAGAGCTGAAAATATTCTATCCAAGTTTGATACAATTTACATGAAAGAAATAAAATTTTCTTATATTTTTATTTGTCAAATAATAATTTGTACATTATTAGAGTTTTGGCCTACTCTACAGCATGGTTGCTAGGTAACAGCTCATGATTTCCAACCAGGATGTAACATTTTTAAAACAAAAAAAAAAAAGCAAACTAGGATAATTTTTTTTTTTTTTTTTTTTTTTTAGGACAATATTAAATCAATATTAACAATATTTTAGTGAAATGAGTAGTCTAACCTGTCATAGGAACTTTAATACATTATGAAGGGTGAATGTTAATATGTTAATAACTTGCCTAGAATGTTCTACAGTACGGCATTAAACATAACTATCTCCAGAGAGAAAAGGAGGTGGCACCACCAGGCCAAGTTACAGGTCAGATCTGTGAAGAAGCGAGCCTGCTTACAGTAAGAATGCATGTTTTGAAGGTATTTTTGAGCAATAAAATACTATATTGAAAAGATGTAAGTTCAATAACGTACTATGGAATATTTCAGCTAATGCAAGGAGGTTGCGAATTCCCCTATGAGAAAAGTTACATTGCGCATTTTTAATAAATAAAAGAATATGGAGACTTATATGTTGAAATGAACCATACCTTGCAGTCACACTCAGAAAGTGCTCCAGCGAGATGTGTAATTTCTCCATCTGTTGACACCTAAAAGAAAGATAAATATTGTTAAAAATAAATATAGAAAAACGTACAGAGAAAACAGATTGTATGTTAAATCTGTAGGAGTAGTTTCCAGGACACTTTAAGTAATAAATGTTTTTCCTTGTTTTAAAATGGACTATGCTGTGTGCAGTGTAAACATGAAATAGTTACCATGCATTTTTCATTAGGACTTTTGGGCTTCGCGCCAGTAAAAATCTTTTGCGGCCAATGGGTAATTATCATCTCCCTTGGTCTATTAGTCTGAAAAGGATCATTCTGATAATATGCACATGCATCGTTGGGGATTCACTCAGGCAATGGACAAAACTGGGATTAAAGCCAGAAATATCTCAACAAGACACAATCATGATCCCAGTTTATTCTAGTTACATTTAAAGTGAGTGAGCCATTGGTGATCAGAAGGGCAGATGGCGCACATTGGCAGCCACGCTTCAGTCAGTCAAGCCCAGGACAGCTGTGGCTACATGAGCAGTTTACCAAGTGTGGAGTGAATGAATAATGTAATTTAAAGTGTTTGCGAGTGAAAAAAAAAAAAATTGCATAGATCACACTGTGTAAAACATTTCAAATTTTAACGTTCCTAGTTCAATAGACATGCTACTCCTGTTTTTCAACTCTTTTGTTAATTTTGTTTATTTTATTGGGGTACACTAAAGTAAAAATTGGCACAAGACAAGCCTATATACTGTAGCTTGAGACAGCAGCTCTGTTGGTGCTGAAGTGCTCACCGATAACTCAAACTTATTAGACTTATAACACCACTATTGAACTATTGATCCTCATGGGAAATTATTTGGATACAGTAACCCACAGATACAGTATATATTAGATAGACACACGTACAAAAGGAGGTAAAGGACAAACTGTGCAAAGATGAGTATTGATAGGCATGACATCTGTTACATAAAGGTGAGTGTAGGGTGGTGCAAAAATATCGAAATATCTATATATCGTATCATTTAATGTGATGATGCAGGATCGATATTGTGGGCTGCTGTATATATTGCCAAGAGTATTTTTTTTATATATTTTACTAAATAATTTTGTTACAGTGCTACAGTTTTGTTGCTTGTTTAGAGGAAAGAAACTCGACATTTGACATTTTCACTCTTTTGAGAACTAAAATGTGTGTTTCATATTCACTTAGCACAAACAGTGGTTTAACAAACACTTCTAGTATCACAGCCATCATTTAGACTTCAATCGATAAGAAATATATTGTATCGAATCGAATATGCACTGTATCGAGATATGTATCGTATCATGGCCTATGTAACTTCTTAATGATACCCAGCCCTAGGTGAGTGGTTGTACAGTTGTATGGAGTATGGTTTAAATGTAGTCCCATATCTCTAAAATAAAATAGACAGTTGGATACCTGCTACTGACATTGCACACTATTGTTGTGCCCTTTGCAATGCACTTCACCAGCCTTCCAGTTAGCTAGTATGAATGTGGTAATCTGACTGCGTGATGGTCAGAAACTAGCCACCATCCAAGTCTAGAAACATCTAACCTGCCTCTAATGTAGAATAAGTTAGAGCGGCAACACATTTTAATTCCATGTTTGTTTTGATTGTGAACAGATAGATTATAAAAGCAGCTTTCTGGGTCCAGAAAATGAGGCTACTGTGTGCGCAATCTGTATCCAATTATAAAGTGCTAAAAAGCATCAATAATCACTAAGTGCATTGTTAGCCTGCTAGTTGTTTTTAGCGTTACTGTAATGGCATTGCTGTGCTCTGCTTTGGGCTCAAAATTGTGAAAAGCATCATCACAGTGAATAATTAGGATGCTCGGAATGCGTTAGGAAAGTAAAAAATAACTTTGAACCACTGCAAAGCTTTGAAAATGAACTAGTTCTGTTTTTCACTATTTTGGGACAGTAAAAATCAGATACAGCTCACCAGGCTTTAGTTTTGGTTTAGCCCTAGTTTAGATCGAGCATTACACATTTTCTTGAGAACCGTCACATTCGTCCCCTGACTTTACCTGTCTGATGCGGTGTATCTTCTTCTCATCGGTCTCGGCGATGTAAAGCACTCCGCTGTACGACAGAGCGATGGCTGTGGCCCCCTCCAGCATCGTCTGCACCGCCCTCTTCCCCAAAGTGTACTCGATCCCGGGAACCTGGCAATGCATGGGACGCCCTGCAACGATCCGCACCTGAAAGACAAGGAAAAAGGATATGAAATATTATATAGCAAAAAGGAATATCAAAAAGTGTAGCGTGAAAGATCTTACAATACAAATAATTTGCTTTATATCAAACAATTTATAAATAATTACATGGAAAATGATAACATAACAGTCAAAGATATTTAAAGCAGTGATTTTCAACCAGTGTGCCGTGAGAAATTATCCAGTATCAGTTTTTTAAAATTAAAATTAATTAATTATTACCTGCAAATATTATGTCATTGTCGAGTGTCCGTGCTGTACTTGCTACAGCACGGACACTTTGGTACAGTGTAGTATATAATGACTGGCAGAGTGATCTAATATTCGTCCGGGTGGCAACAGGCAGCTAATTGCCTCGTTTCTTTAAAAGAATTAGTAACACATGTGCGTGGTGACAGTCATGGAGGAGTTTTTAAAACGGACGAATGCAAACTCCGAACTGGGTCTTGGACAAGATTCTGACCCAGAAGAAGAGCTTTTCAAGCTTAACTGCTATAAAAACTAAAAACAGAGAGAGACTGAGAGCTGTTGATGAAGAGCTTTGTGTGTGTCTTTCCTGCCAGGATATCAGCTTTGTGTTCATCAAAACAGGCGCAGGTCTCACACTGAGTAAGTAGAAATTAATGTAGAAATTATATTGTAATTAAATATACCGTATAGTGTCATTTTGTAACATTTTGGTTAGTGGTGTGCCGCAAGATTTTTCCAATGTAAAAAATGTGCCGTGGCTCAAAAAAGGTTGAAAAACACTGATTTAAAGTACTATTTATCATGTGTTTAATAGTGGTTCCCAGTTTTGTGGATTGAAAATAAACATCATATAAAGAAGAAATAAAAACCTATATCTTTCTGCAAGTCAAATCTAACATGGTAAGTAAACAAACTTCCTAAAGTTCTAATTAATGTTTTCTAAATGAGTTTTCTGGCTAAAAAACACCTACATTTTAGATAGAAACACTTTGGTACCTGTCTATTTTCTGTAATCTGCAGCACGACGTTGTTGTCCAGGACGTAGATGGAGTTGTCCATGGGGTTGATGGCCAGGTCTGTGGGCCACTCCAAACGAACCTGAAAAAAAATAAATAAATAAATGAAATGAAAAGAACATTTTATATAGGTTTACAGTTTAAAGAATGTGATGCTATAATCTGGGGGCAAGAGCCAGTTTTTTTTTTGTTTTCCACATCAAAAATTAAATTCACAAACGTTAAACCTGATTATTTTTATTACTGACAACTACTTTTCGAGACAATCTGTACTTTTAGTTGCCCCTCTTTTATAGTAATTATTCATATTATTACAGTGTTGTTATATAAAACCATCTCAAAGCAATTGTTTTTTAGCTTTAATGCTTTCTATATATTGTTTGTTTATTTACAATTTACTTTATTTTATTGTCTCCTGTCATGTTTCTAAAATGTGCTATGTAGACTAAATAAAGTGGATTTCAAAGTGGCAAACCATTAAAATGCTATCTACAGTAATTAAAATGCAATTGTATATACACCAACATTCTTATCTGCCTAAATACATGCATAAACATCTATCTATAACCTTAGTGGAAAAGATATTAGTCTGAGTGAAGCTGGGGACTTTGTGTGTGGGCAGCTGGTATACGTATAGCCACAGGAGAGGTCACAGGAGTCAAACTGAGCTGAACTACGTGAAGAAGGGTCCCGCGTCAATGAGGTCTAGCTACAGGCAGGGGGCGCTCTGGTCAGTGTGCCCTCTAAGCTCCAAGGACCAAACAGTGACCTCTCCGGTGCACCCCTGCCCTAAGTCAAGTACTGGCCCGCGCGGTTAGCACATGAAAGCTACCCGAAAGCTAACTGTAGGTGGTTCTCGGTGTTCTCTGACAGATCGCCGGACAATAAAGTGAAAGACTGTACATTTCAGACAGAGCTATTTCAGTCTGTTCTTTAGTCTGGGCAATGCTGGAAGAGAAGTTTTTAAAAGTGCAAAAAGGGCGTAAAGCACTTTTCACAGTGGTCTGGTTGCAGCTAAAATATAATAATATAATTCACCAATCAATAAATTGCACAGAGATAACTCATATAGAACGTGTTTGTTTATCAGACTGTACTTCCTACTGCTGCAGAATAAAGATTTTCAAAGTGGCACAGACAATATCAGATCTTTTTAGCAGTTCTAATGGAAAAACAGGGTGAATGGTCACTTGGCAAGTTTAACACTTTATATAAATAATATATAACTTTTACCTTTGCGATGTCCGTTATTATCTAGCAGAGGGACTGTTATTGGCAATTATACATTAGTTGTAATGAAAAATAACTATAAAAACAAGACAGTAACAAATATCTTTTGAATGAGACCATGATTTGCAAAATTAATCCCTTTTCCTATTTGCCATTAACCCATCTGACAATGTCTTTGTAGAGCAGCTGAGTCAGAAATGTCTAGATGTATGGTACATGTTTTAGGTTGATGTGGAAAACTACATTTTGTCTAGGAATTGAATCCCTAACCTTCTGGCTATGTGGAGCTCTACTACCTCTGTTGTATATCACATTAAGGCCACACTGTTACCTGTCTGATGTGCATGCTGGTGTCACAGGTCAAAGGTCGTGCAGAGGTCAGGTCGTTGCTGCCCAAAACAGTCGAGATGATTCCATTTCTGTCGACCTTTCGGATCATCGTCCCATCCACGAAGTATATGAGTCCATTCTTATCCACTGCAATCCCTGAGAGGAGAGAAAGTTTGCACATGTAAGAATACGTCATACAAAACATTTTTTATACAGCAGCAAAGTAAACTGTATAAAAAAAAATGGTTGCTAGGAATGTACTAAGAGATGAACAAGTCTGAAACACTGCTATTTAAAATTAACTAATTACGTTTTATGTTTTGAAGACAGTAAAAATCAGGTACAGCCCTTTTAAATCAGACTTTAATTAGTTTTTTGAGTAACACTTAGGCGTGCTGTTATTTCTTTTAAACATGTGTTAATTGGACAGATGGAGGCTCCATATATTTAAATAGACATCCTTCTGTACCATGCACATACAAAGTAGAGGTTGTGATAACAAGAATACAAAAGCGACACTTTAAAACTGCTACAGAAACACTGTAAATTGGACCGGAAAATTGAAATAATGAGTTGACAGGAAGTGTGCGTCAACAGTGACAAAATGTGATCTTTACATGTGTGAGAAGTTTACATGTTATTTTAGAGGAACATTAATTAAGTTTTATTCCAAACTTAGGAAAATAACAGGTAAATTATTTCAGCTAGTGCTAAAATACACTCATCTGTACAAATGATCAATCTGGGATGTATAGTGCCATGACAACTATTTGAATCTGAAGCATCAGGCGCCACCTAGTGCCTCCACTCAATTTCATTTCTCTCCAGCGACTAGGTCAGGAATTGGAATACGCTTAAACGGTTCGCAAAAAACGCAGAAGTGCGAGTTCAGGTACCAGCCAGTCAGCGAAGAGCCATACATTCTGTGTTGGCAACGATTCCCGAGATCGAGGATTTAAAGCCGGAACAAAGAGAACGTTTGGTGAATTTTATCAAGGGGAAAGACGTTATTGTCCTTCTTCCTACCGGATTGGGAAAAAGCTTAATATATCAGTTAACCCCATTAGCGGTGCATTACATATGTCATGACCAAATAGTAGCGATTGGTTAAATAAAAAAAGTACCTGCCTACCATCGAGCGAACAAATTCTAACACTGACTGGTCAGATGGATTCTACGATGTGAAACCTGTTGATGAATCAAGCTATTACAACACTGGAACAATCAAAAAATTCTAACTTTAGTTACATCCAAACAAAATAGTCTGAACTGACAGTAAAATAGGCTGTATCTTGATTAAAACTGTATTAACTGTAGAGCCCTAAAACTTAAAAACATTGACAAAAATCTTTATAGTGAACCATTGCTAGAGTAAACAAACCTTTGGGTCCCAGGAGCTGAGCCTCTGTGGCCTTTCTCCCGTCCCCACATCGAGCTTCATCAAAGGGAGGACACTGCTCTCCTGTCCCGGCCACCACCTCACCATTACCTACAAATACACACAGTTACATGCATAAAAAATACAATCAACGTGCTGGCACTAGGCTGAAAATTCAACTAGAGAGACCCAATAACCTGGCATATTTACATTTGTTCAGTACAGATTTACATTAATGTTCACTGTCCCTAAATTATAAAGAAATAAATACATAAATAAATACATATACAATTACATCTCAGGATATTGTCATAAATTGTCTTTCTTTCTCCCCAATTCTTTAACTCTGGCTTGGCTTTTTGAAAATGTAAATCAATGTTGGTCAATCCTCCAACTCCTTCTCTTCATTTCCAACAATGTCTTTATTTGGCTTAAACATCTTCAACCAATTTACAGATCCGATGACACACTAGAAAAACTTAAACGTGTGAGAATCTGCTGCCTTCTCCAAGTTTTTCCGAGTTAAATTTAGTGCAAATACAAAGTAGTAATCAAAAGTATTACTGATGAGATCCCGGGCGCCGCTCAGCATCTTGGGACGGTATATTCTTCTGGAGTTGGTGTCCGAAACGTAGACCTGACCGGTGACTGGGTCGGTTGCCAGGTAGTAGCGATGAGCGGGGTTGTTGCTATGGAAACAGAAGATAAAGTAAATAATGTTAGCTTATAAAAATGTGTTTGGCGTTTTGACCATTACATGATTGGGTACAACATAGTGAAAGTGTGGGGTGTGGGATGGGTCAATGTAAGACTGTAATATAAAACATGAGAGGAGACGATCAGGGGTGAAATAGTCTCCAGTCACACATGCCTGGAGGCAGACTGACAGATGTGGCTGCCATTTTGCACCTATGTTTTCTCAACTATGACCCAAACACTATTATACAAACACATACTGTAACACGCAGGGATATCTGGCAAAAACGTATTCTACAGGACATATTAACTGTAGTATGAAAAGTGGAATTGAACCTTCATCGTTAAAGGTCGATAACATAACCCCACCCACATAAGAATGCAATAAAACACAGCTCCGGGTATGTTTTTGATGAGGAAACATTATTACATAGATCAGAAAATAGCGTAATATAAGCCCTTTTGCTGTAAACAAAAGATAACATTTTTAATAAAGCCCCTAAAAGTGTAACATGTCCTCTAAAAAGGATAGACAATGTGGTGTGTAACAAAAATACTCCATAATTCCTTTGTTTTTTTTGAAGCAGTACTGAGAGCCACTGAAGGTTTCCTCATTCAAGTTCATGGCCCTAAAAGTGGTGTGAATTTGTAATAAAGTTATTGGCCTTAGCAGCTAAAAACTTTAATCCATTATCCTTTTTGCCAATGGAAAATACTTTTGAAATTTCACAATCCCCCAAGGACTCAGGATGCTTTCAGCGTTAATTTTTGTCCTTCACCACAAATGAATCTTTTTTACCCAGACCGAAGTGAACAAGGTTTTTCAATGCACTAAAAAATATTTGGAATAATTTAATCTCGCGGATGGATATAATGTATTTTGCTTCAATTTGGATCGAAAGAGACAATCTTCTAACATTGTGAAATAAAAATAACTGAAAGCCAAGACTGTTGATTAGTGCAAAGAGTGATATTGCAGAGGAAATTGGAATTTTTTTTTTTTCACTGCATTCGCAAGTCTTGCGCGCTATCGGCTTAGTTATAATTTAGCACCAATAGCAACAACATCTGATCGTGTTCTGAAATGGTTTTCACTTCACAGCTGTGTCTTGTCAGGGTCAAAAAATCACAAAAGTGCAAACCAGGGTTCAATACAAAGGGTGGCTATTTTTAAAGGTGCACTGTGTAACTTTTTAGTTGGGGGTCCGTCACTGCCTGGAATGTTCTAAAGTATGACAGTAAACAGATCAACCTTACATTTATTCAATTACATGTAGTTTTATTGCTCAAAAATAGAAAAAAACCGGAACTCTGACTGTGAGCGGGGTTGCCTCTCCACGGATCTGACCTGTAACTTATTCTGGTTTGGTCTCCATGAATATAGAAAGGTTTAATACCATACTGTGAAACATTCCAGACAAAGCAATAACATCTCCATGAAGATCTGTCTCTCTATTTCTATCTATTTTTAGTTTGAATTGTTCGTACGTAAAACAAAACCTTTCCAAAAAACTATTCTGAATAGTCAAATTGTGATGGGTGTGTTTTAGAATTGGACTGATTTTAATAATAGGTTTCTGTTCAAAGTTCATATTTTAAGCACATCCATCTGAAAAAGACAACAATATATGAGCTGACAACTGATACAAGAATCACATATATTCTGCGTTGGTACAGATCTAAACTACAGGGCAGGCAGTTTTTATGCAGAGTAAGACTCTTGTTTTGTTGTTTGTGGAGGAAATTATGGTACTTACAAATACCATCCATAGAAATTACAATTTTGCAATGAATCTTGCAGCCCTAATGCTCCAGTCACATTGTCAAATAAGCCTCTGCAGTTTTTGCTGTGAACCTTAAGTGTGGAGTCTGTGCCCTGTGCCTGGCTCTCATCACATTATCACAGCCTGATAATTAGCACTGCTATAAATACATCCAGACACGTGTTTTATTCTATTCCCAACACTGCAAAGAAGCCTACATCACTGGCATTCAAAGGTGCACTATGTCACTTTACTGGGGGAGGGTTTGTTAGCAGCTTGTCTCCATGGAGATGTTACTGCTTTGCCTGGTCCCAACTGGCCAAGTTACAGGTCAGGGGTCTCATTGATAAAGGATTGCGTAGGAATTTTCCTAAACAAGTGCGTACTCTTAGTGGCCACGAGAGGGGTGCGCCGCACACACTCCACCATGCAATCTGTGTCCAGGTCAGCACGGCCACAGACATTATTGTGTCCTTTATCTAGACCGGGATGGCCCTTAGGAGCAAGCTCTCATTTACAAGAGCTCCCTGTTACACAAATATGCAATATTTTGGGTTGTGGTCAGGTTCAGACAGCAGTCCATGAGGTGCTTCTGTGCGTATTCAGGCCACTCATGAGCTCCGTCTGAGAGAGGAGTTTTTTCTCACATCCAGTTGTTGTTAAATCCTTTCACATATTCAAATGCATAATATTGTCAAGAATAATGAGTGCTTAAATGCCCAGATCTAAAAGTGATTATTTTATAGACATGATTTAGATAGTTAAGAAAGTTAAGTTTAAAACCATACTGTGTGATATTATAGACAAGGCAATAATAATGTTCTCTGTCAGGCCAAAGCTGGCACCCCATCAGACAGTAGTAACACAGAGAGCATCTAATTTGAGAACACAGTGCCAGGTTGTCTAATCTTTTTATTTATTTATTATTATTTACTTTTTTTGGTACATAACATCAAAACAACAAGATTCTGAACTTAACTTAATCAAGTATCACATTCCTACTTTGCAGTTAAGTACCAGAAACTCATCCAATACTCTTGTTTTTTCAGCATCTAAAAGTGTGTTGTTTTCAGCAAATGCTGTTTCTCAGGTATACCTCATAGACACTACATGTCTTAATTACAGCTTTATTTGACCTGACATGTGTGAATACAGTGTGAAGGCACCACCTCCCTCCACACTTTTACACATTTAATTGGACTGCATTTTGTACAGGCACCAGTAGCACAAAAACAACTGATTTTCCTCTTTTCTGCCTCAGTCTGAATTTATTTAAGAAAATAAATTGGGTACGTACAAATGTGTGGATTTCAAATTAGCGCCAATCCCGCTGAAGTATTAGACATGCAAACAACACTTGATCATCTGGATATGTCAGAATGCATTATGGGAGAAGTGGTGGATGCGGAGAAGAGAGAAAGACAAGGACGAGACATCAGAGGAGGAGAGAAGAAAGGAGAGAATGAGATTGGTGAATGTCGACTGGTGTGGGGAGATGCTAAACTAATCCAAAATTACATCGGATTGCATTAAATTCATCGTAAAGATATGGTGGACTATATAAATATATGTGGACTGCATATACATGGGCTCCAGTTGCTAATTTTCATGGACCTCATTTTGAGAACTTTTAATCATTCAAAAGAGATACGTAATATTATGTTTTGAATTGTTAATTGCTATTTTATCACTCTAAAAAACTACAGTAGCTGAGTGGTTAACAGCAAAAGCTAAATTATGAAATATTTTGCAAGTCAAAAATCACCAAAATATCATTAGAGTTCATGAGACTGGAAATCCAATGGACCTAGAAGTATCCAAAGTCAGGATGATGCACTGTCAGTATTCTATCTATGTTTCAAAATGATGAAAAAATAGAGCAATTGTCATAGCTATTAACAATCTAAAAGATAATATTATATATTTTGAGTACAAAAAAGTCTTGACAGAATTGAGATACACCAATTCAGCTTTTTCACTTCGGATACTGATTCCAATACTAAAGTTTTTGCTGATACCCAATATCAACCATCACCGATACCAGTGTAGAGACTGAAAACAGCATATATTAAATTAAAACACAAATAAAATAAGACAAAACTGATACAAATGTGGTATCTCTCAAGTAACTACATAAAAATTGTGTATAAATAAAAGTTCAAATATTAGAAGACTTTCTTGGCCAACTACAAGGAGTAAATAGTCTTTTTACGTCATTGTACATGTCCAATAAGGATATTGAATGAACCGATATTTGGAAGTCAATATCCGATCCAGCTAAATTTTCATTATCGGTGTCGGCATCCGATATCATTATTGTCTCGGTGCATCCCTACACAAGAAGATGAAAAGCATTAATATATCGATGAAGCAAAAAATTTAATCTGCCGAGATGGGTAGAACATACAAACTCTGCATAGAAAGACTAAGGCGACCCGGAACTCGAACCAAAAACCTCCTTAATACCCGAAGAATGGAAAAGTTGGGCAGACATTAAAAAAACACAGAAATCCACCCTAAATATCCAGAATGAGCCTTTCCGACCCTCCTTGCAGACTCTCCTTGCTACCTCTCTTCCTGCCTCTTTTTTCTGACCCTCTTTTCTGGCTCTCCTTGCTTGGGGCGGTGCTGTAGTAATGGCTAAGCTGCTGGGAGCTGACACTAGAAGAATAGGTTTGATTCTGTGTGGACACTTGTCAGGATCAGGGCCAGAGGAAACAGAGGAGACAGAGGAGACAGTGGAGACACAGACATACAGGGGGAGAAACTTCTATTAAAGGACAAGTATTATGCGAAATGGAGAATGAGCAGTGTAGTGACTGTGATGGAGGGTTAATCACACTTACCTATGTCTGAAATCTTTGTTTCTTTAGAAAGCCAAAAGGAAAAGAGCAGAGTAGAGGAGTTAGTCAGGAGAGGACATGCAGAGACGGACAAAGAAGTATTCATCAAGAACTGGGTTTTATGAGCTACTTTTAGAGAAGAGAGTGTATAGGCTAATACTAACGCAGATTCTCAGGTTAATAGGAACAGAAGCTTAAAATTCAAAGTGCAGCAGCAGAAGAAGAAAAACATATGCAAAAAAAACCTCTTTCGTCTAGGAGTGGTTCATTATTAAAAAATCACGACAATAAGGACTTAAAATCAATACTTTTCAGTGAACCAGAAAAATATGGCTTCTAGGTAGATAGTTAAAACATCTCAACTACCTTCGAATTTTTTTGTATGAATATTTAATAAACATTTACATGATGTACAAGTTAATTTACAAGTTAACGTTTATTTAGTTTTAATGCTGAATATATAATTGAGACAGGTGAATAAGCATCTTTTGGGTTGCCAGATTCCGCAGCCAAAACCATCAAGTAAAGTTATGATTGTAAATGATTAAAATCAGGATCATCTGCAAACAAACACTTCAGGGTTTGAGGTGAGCATACCCATCTTAAAACTGACAAAATACAACACAGAAATAACCCTACTGAGAATGTCGCAATATAATGTCAACAATGTTACATCTAGTAAATAGTAAAACAGAATTTTCTTCACCACAGCTCAGAGTAAATGGTCTGAAACAGAGAGTTAGCAAAAGGTGGACCCAGCACGAGCCCGTAGTGCAGAAGTCACTGAAGGGGAAAGAGTTTTCAGATGTAGTTAGCCGTGTTGACTGTAGCATAGCGTCCACAAGTTAGATTTAAAAAGAGCAGTCTCCCGTCTCATCACTGGACTTTTATGTCTTTAAACTTTCGGCAGAGACTAGGGCAGTTCAGATGTTTTGAAAGGAATAGCACAGTTTCCAATTTGCTCAACTCTTTTTTCTCTTTTCTAAATATACAAATACATTACAAGGAAAAACATTACACAAGTTCCTTTTAAACAACAGCTATGTCCCAATTTCAAGCTTACTTTTTCATTAATTAGGCAGAAACATAAACGCTTACAAATGGAGGTTGAGATTTTCTTTTGGCATCCAGTACTTTTGTGTTTTACAACTGCTGTAATTTCAAGTTCTCACAGTTGCCGTGACATTTTTGGTCAGGTGAGTCGCCATATTTACTGAGGGGAAAACTTCAATGCAAGTAATGGGCTGCTTCACTTCACTCAAGTCCTCAAATTCTCCCAAAATAATGCCACAAATGATTTCAAATTGCACACAACAATAGATCGAAACACCAGGAAGCAATAAGAGGCTAAAGATGACTAAGCTGGCCGTCGTGCAGGCCCATATTCCACTCTCCTTAAGTGTTTTGGTTGTAAAATATGACCGTTTTCTCTCTAAAGTGGCCACTCTTAGGCAAAGAAATAATCGTGAGGGTGCAGAGTCAAGTTGGAAGTTGGTGGCTGCTGCATCTGTAGCTAATTTGGCTCAGTTTAGTTTAGTGCCAGAGTTGTAGCGTATACAATCAGTGTCTGTGTTCCAAACCTCTTCTGCTAGTATAAGAATGAATACTGACTACTTGAATGAAACTACCGTATTTTCCGGACTATTGAGCACACCTGAATATAAACTGCATCAACTAAATTTTAACTAAATTTTAAAATTGTACATATATAGGCCGCACCTGAACATAAGCCGCAGGTGTCCACGTCTTCAAGAAAGTTTTCAAGTTTGGGCTGTCTGCTTTCATCGACTCTGAAAGCTTTTGTCGTCTTTTTGCATTGAGTCAATTTGTCACTCTGCCACCGCCAAAGTCTCGCCATCACTGAAACTGAACTCACGTGCAGCAACTTGCTTTCCTTCTTCGACAGCCACATCAATCGCCGTTAACTTAAAAGCTGCATCATCTGCATTTCTTTGTGTGTTCCATGAGGAGGGTGTGTGCATGAAGCGCAAAATAACTGTTCAAAACACAATCAAATTAGCATCTTCCTCGGCACATCACCCCCGTCTCACCCGCGATCTACAGCACATGTCTCCTGCAAGAGTCTCTGTGCTGTCTTGTCTTCATGTCAGCGTCTTGGAGGATGTCAGCAGATTTCAGGCTCTTACGGGAGCAGGGCTAGATCTAACAATCAGGTGTGAGTGCTGAAGTTTGAGACGTTTCTTCTTGTCATTTAGGCATATGGTAAAACGTATCACCTCACTAATGTTAATTTAGCATCATAACTTATTTTATCACATGGCGATAAACTATGTGAGTGCGCTGGCAATATCGTTAGCTAGTGTAGCAACTTCATGTGAACCCTAGAGCCATGTGTGAACCATAGACGGTATATATGAACAGACAATGTGCCAAACAAAGAATCCGTCCATATATTAGCCGCATCGTTTAATTAGCTGCAGGGTTCAGAGGGTGAGAAAAAATTTGCGGCTTATAGTCCGGAATTTACAGTTCCATTCAAGCTACCTGTGAGGACTTGCTGTTAGAATACACATTGGCGTCTAGTAACAGCAGCTTTGCAAAGTTTTTTCTCACTTTTGTGTCACATTTGCGATAACACCAGACAGAGTTAGACTGCCTGTATATTTAAACTTCACCACACAGCGCTTGTTTTACACTGTCCAAACTTTGGTATCTGAACATCTCCAGTCGTGCCGTGGCAATGAAGGGCAGGGGACTACATAACTCTTATAACCAAGGACGCTTTACTGTTTTTGCAAGAAATAAATCAACATATTTGTGTTCATTTATGCTGACACAGCAGATGCCAAAGTTCGTGCCAGTTTTTGTTTTATATGGATGCAGATGGAAAGGAGCCGTAGTTAAATCAGGTATAGATAATATTTTCTTTTGCAAGGTTAATGCCTTTGTACATTGTCACAAACAAATAAAGAACGATCTTCACTAAACTCTTAACCATAAATAAGATCAACAAACAGCCAATTACACAGCAGGAATTTCCTTGTCATCCAGATACATTTTAATCCACAGAGATTTTAAAATTCTGGACATGTGGCAATACGTGATAAGCAGCCTGTTGTTAACTACTGTTTCATATTTAATGAAAAAGCCTCTTATGTGTAGTTGATTCTTACCTGAGCTCCATGACACTGGTGACGTTGCCTGAAGGGAAGATCCGCCTGATGTAGTTGAAATCTCCCACGAACACACTCCCATCAGCCCCGCACGCCAGAGCCAGAGGGGCCAGCAGCTTGTTCCCCTCCGCCTGCCCGTTACAGCTCGGGCATGAGATACTGCGTCTGCGACCGTTACCTACACAAGAGAGATTTGTAGTTTAGATTTTAAAGCATGAGTGAGGAATGTGTGGACTGTACTCCCGCCCACTAAAGACTCATTTATACTCCGCGTTCTAGCCGCAAATACGGATAAGCGCAGAGGCCACTAGTGTAAGGAAGTAACTGAATATATGTACATGGTTTTCAGAATACAGTTACTTTTCTGAAATCAATGGAATACATTATTCATTCAAACTGCACATAGTCAGTGAGAAATAGACCACGCTGCTCTTGTGGCGAGTGCATGTGTGATTTTTCCATTGGTAATTAGTGATAGAAAATGCTTTAAAAATGGCAAAACTAATATAAAGCTGTTTTAAATGAGTTACTATGTTGTGGCTGTGTTACTCTATAATTTAAATGCAATCTGTGTAAAGATTTTTCAGCGTTAAACGATTTTTTTGGTCTTAAATGAATTTTAAACATGCAACAAAAAGCCACCGCAGACACAACAGAATCTTATGAAATTTTAAATCTCCAATCACAAAGACTGCAGGGGATGTGGCTGCGTGCCACAGGCTGTAAAGTTGTGAGCGCGATCACATCAGCTCTGTCCTGTCTACAGTAAAGCGGGTGCCTTCAAAATCACAGACGAAGGTACAAAGTCAGGTCACGCCTCCTCGAAGTCGGGGAGAAGCAAATTGCAGCCAAAATCAGGCAAATTCTCCTGTAGTGTGTGGCGGCCTTAGAAGTATTCCAAGTATTTAGAATATAGTCCTTTGATTAGACATGGAATATGTTACAAAATACATTTTAAATCAGATATTCAGTATTCTGTAACTAAGTACATTTCTCTAAGTATTTGTCCCATCACTGGAGACTTCTGTGTTGTTCTATATGTCATTTGGTCCATCTCCCCAGAACATGTAGAATCTTAGCAACAGCTCGATAGTGAAAGATACACTTTTTAGAGCGTAGCTAGAACGAGCTGCAAAACAAACAAATACTTCCCTCACTTCATTTTCTTGGCTCCTTTTCAACAGTTGTGATTTACTCGTCTATGTGGTTTTACACTTTGTTGTCAGGATCATTCTAAATTCAGGAAAGGTTTATTCGTGTTTAGTGAATGTGATTTCTTTTTCGTATTGATACCTGCTCATATGAGTATATAGTACCGATACTAGTAATTTTGACTTAATTCTCACTCTTGAAAATGCACCATGACAGAGAATCAGCTGTCTGGCATTGTTGTTTCCCATAATTCTTAATGAGAAATGTTCCTGATTGGATGAAACTGGTGAAACTTCTCTATTAGTTATTACCCAACACAATGATAAAGAAAAATCCAAAGTTTACGTTACTTTCAGTCAATTTTTTCTTTCACTTATCTACATTTACAGTACACTGCATTATATAAAGACCAACCACATACAGGCCCTTTAAGAGTGCAAGAAATTGATGTTGTTTACAATTGTGAGGCATTAAGAGCCACTTTGTCCTCTTAGAATTATAATGTTCTATCTGCGTTCTGACATATTGAAGTTTAAAGTTCTGACTCATCGAGCACAATGGAATCAGGAAATGGGTTTTTGTGCAATAAATATAAAAAAAAATGCACCCATTCTACAAAGGTAAGGTGTGCAAAGATATTCAGGAAAAATAATAAACTCATTTTCAACAAAAACATTAGATAGAACATTATAATTCGAACCAAATATTATCACTATTTTGACGCCCCGTGCACAGTACTTATTGGGTGACCTTAGTTTGCCAAAATTCTATAATCTACTCTAATTTAAGGATATCTACCAGAAAACGATGTAACCTTTCTGGTGCTGATACGCCACTTGTTTGTCTCCATGAAAATGTTATTGCTATGAATGAAATATTCCACAATACGACATGAAACAAATCTATCGCGATGACCAGAAAATGGTTACTGGTCAGATCTGTGAAGTGACAGCCAGAAAGAATGTGTATTGAAGTGTTTTTAAGCTATAAATTGTAATACAATAAAATAGACATGTTTAAGGCCTTTTAGGAAAAAGCAACATCCAACCATGGAGGTAAACAACATAAACACACCACTAGTTATGTATTTCAAATGTTAACATTTTTAAACACTAAATATTCTAAAATATATATGACAACCAAATATGTTTAGAGTTTGAACTATGGCATAACATATATTCATGAGTACCAACAATTCAACACTTTAAAACTGGAAGGCTTTAAAACTGCTTTATGATCCAGATAGAATTTGTTTACTGTGGAAATCGGCAGCCCATGCAAAATAATCCAACCCAAATGACTTCTGGAATAAGGTGAATAAAGTCTACGGTCTCTGTTGTAGCTGACCGCTGAATAAACATTGTAAAAAATACTTGAAAACTCGCCTGTCCTCTAACCGTCTGCACAAAAACTTAAAACAAATCCTGACTATTTTGGAAGTGGGACCCTCCATGAGTGCTTTTAAAGACAAGTTAACAGCAGAGACGCAGTGGAGCTGGAGTAGCACAGATGCACATTAAGCTGCCAGCGCTGTTCCTCAAAAGTCCCGTTCGTATAATTATTTAGTGCGCAAGAATTCACTGATTTGAGTTAAATACAGGGTACCGCCCACTACAGCTCCTAATATGAACCTGTCTGATTCACTACAAGCCAAGTTTAAAGTGGCATTTTGGAGATTTTGTGCAATATTTGAAAGTGGGATCGCCTCTCCACGGATTTGTCCTGTAAATTGGAAATGTGTGTCACTTGCTTCCAGTTCCACATTCAAGGGAAAACGCTAAGATCTCCATGGGAACAAGCAGGTGGCGGACCTTCACGTGAATGCATCTGAGCAACTTTTTTGGTTGAGGTTACACTGCGCTGGGTTAGGGTTGCCAGGAATGTTCCACAGTATGGCATTAAACTCATCAAATACTTATGAAATTACATGTGTTTACTAGACTTAAGTTATTACATATTTAGTACCAGGAATGCTGTACCTTTTAGTGATTCAGAAGCGACTGCATGGCACAAAATGTAAATAATTTGTCTATAAAATATTGAGAGGTATAAACAAAACAAAGCGGCAAAAGAGTGGACTTACCCATGATGCTGCTGATGACAGGTGGCTGCTGGGATACGAACACGTTCTCACCGTTGCCCTTGTACAAGATTCCTGTGAAAGAAGAGAATACGAATCAGGAATTGGGTATGTAAAACTATTACAATGAAATAATAAAAGTATTTTCGGACTATGAGGCACACTGGATTATAAAGCGCAATATCAATAATGTTGAATTCTCTCGTCTATTTTCATACATAAGGCACACCGGAATATAAGGCGCATTAAGCAAAACAACAGGACAGGACGATTTTCAAGAAAATTAAAAAAATTAAAGTGCGCCTTATAGTCCAAAACATACTGTATATAATTCATCCCTAGATCACCCGGGTATTTTGAAAGTAAAGCGCAGAATATTGTAATATTCTTATGAGCAAATTATGTTTAAATAAAGAATGTAAATGTTTTTCTTTTGCACTACCAACAATATTTTGGTCAGGCTTTGTTAAGGGCACCTACTGAACCAAAACTTGACTCTTAAAGCTACAGTACATCATTTTCCAACCCTGAACAAAGTTAAAGTTCCTATCACTTGCATTCAAATAAACACATTTTCAGGCATGTGCAATCCTACTTTATTTCAATGTTAGAAAAAAGTAGTGAATATATTCTGACGTAGAAATGAAGTAGGGTTGATCAGCCAATGATCAGCACTCAACATTCATCTCTGTTTCCTGGGTTTCCAGTCAATAAAACACTTGATAATTAATATTTAGAATTAAGCAGCTCGCAGACTTCTGATGCTGCTGTTTTTAGTAACATTTAAAATCCTTTTGAAAATGAAAAACTCATGGCAGCCACACTCCTTTGATCAAAAAGTATTTATAGAGGACACAGCTCAACCTCCTCACAAACTCTATGATATTTGGGCTTTAATCTGTAATCTGAATGCAGTGAATGAGATTACACAAGCATTTAACTGATTGTACAGACTTAGACCAGAGGAAAGACAAGGCTGTTCTCATTCTTCAAAGTGAGACATCAAAGCACGCCCCCTGTGGTGAAGTGAATTATTAACACGCTGCCGCCATCTTGGACAGCGGCGTCCAAGTACTTATCATTAGCTGGCATTACATTCACTAAAAATGGGTCGGGAATTATACATTTCACAATAATACAAAATTGGGCCAATGTTATGCAATGTAAGATTCAAATTGGGTAAGGATAGTCAATAAGTGGACTTGATTCATTATTGATTGGTGTGACAGTCAGTCTAATACCATTAAAGGGCCCAGATTACGCTATTTTCTGATCTATGTTATAATGGTGTTTCATCATCACAAACATACCTGGAGTTTTGTTTCATTTCATTCACACATGTTTAACACACAAACCCTGAGCTGTGGTCCTCTCTGAGTCTAAAAACACTCTTTTCTAGTAATACAGGAAGTGCTCTGTTGTGTTTTTAAACTTCATACACCTTCACTACAGTAGAATCATTTCAACAATTTCAGCTTTGGAATTGTCAGTCTCTGAACTAAAGGTAAAAAGGAGCTGCTAATTTGAAAACTACCACTACATGAAATCACAAGGTGGAAGAGTATTCTGAGCTTTGGAGATGTATTCAGACTACCAATAAAAACTTACTCTAACAAGTGTGAAGGGAACAAAACATATGTTTTTGATGAGAAAAACAAAAGTCTAACATGGTTTAAAGCTCACAAGAGTAAATTTTATAGGACCTTTAAAGATACAAGATAAAAACATGGTAAAACATATTTTAGATTAAAAACTATTGTGAAGCAATGTAAGTAAAGCCACAAGCAATAGCTGGAAAATACATAAACAGTCCTGAATACTTTTAGATTTTAAAACAGACATATCAAACTCAGGCCTGTGGGCCACATTTGGCTCAAGATATAATTATATTATTATCATTATTTTATATTTTGCTTGTTCCAGATCCAATGTTTATGCAAAACTATTATTAAACATTTATTTCAATAAGTAAAGGTTTAACATTACATATCTTGAAAGAAGAGAAAACATGCAGATGTTGTTGACATTTTTCAATAAATACACCCCTGGTCTAGAACTAGTTACAGAATATATTTTGTGTTGAAAATTATATACAAATACAATAATAATTATTATTTAAAAAAAAAAAAAAAAAGTATACATCAACTTTTAGTATTGTCCACTTCAAGCAAACAGAGGAAACTACCTCAGAACATCAGCTGGTGGAACAGAGCATTTTGAGCTCTTAGCAGGGAGACTGACTTGGAATGAAGTCCTACACATGTTGGATATACCAAATAATAACATTTACAGATCAAATAATTAATAAAAAAAAAAAAAAAAAGTTCAGCAACCTTTATTCCTGATCCTGAACTTTTCACTGGAACAGTGATCTGGGTGTCAGTGGACAGCGGGCAGCAGAGGATGTCCTGGTATTGGGAGTCTAAACCAGAGGCACCTCAATGCTATGCTAATGTATTCCCTGTGATCCTAAATGCCCCCCACTGAGCGATCAGAGAGCCGGGCTGCTGTTCCCACAATGCAACGGGCCAAAGCCAAGTAGGTCATCACTATGCTTTACACTGAAGTGGTTAATACTATAGGAGGATGGGGTTTGGTAGGATTTAGAGATAGTTGTTTCACATTAACGGATTGCATCTGTCGAAACTTTGAAGAAAGAAAATATTTATGCTAAAAGAGACACTGTGTCACTTTTTCTGCCACCTGCTTGTCTCCATGGAGATATTGTTGCTTAAACTAAAATGGCTTCACAGTCTGGTAGGGCTGGGTATCATTTAGAAGTTGCCGATACGATACATACCTCGATACGTAGGCCATGATATGATACATACCTTGATACAGTGAGCTTTCGGGTCGATACGAAATATTTCTAATCAATTTGATACGGTTCAATAAAAAATAAAGGCTAAATCATGGCTGTGATACTAAAAGTCTTTGTGAAACCACTTCTTGTTTGTTTGTTCTTATTTTAATCATCAAAACAGTGAATATGTCAAATGTGTCGTATTAACTCTCCTCTGAATAAACAACAAAAATGTAGCGCTGTAACAAAATAATTTAGTAAAATATACCAAAAAATACTCATGGTGATATATCGATACAGCAGTCCCCGATATCAAAACTGTATTGTCACATTAAACAATACGATATATCAATATTTTGATATTTTTGCACACCCCTACAGTCCGGTGTATATTGGCCGATATTATCTGATCTATGTGATAATGTTGTTTCCTCGTCTCAAACAAACCTGGAGTTGTGTTTTGTTTGATTCAACACACAAACCCTGCAAATTTAGACCAAGTTCTTCTCTTCCACCTTCTGATGTCAGTACAGGAAATGCTCCACTGTGTTTTTCATCATTCAGTCATTTCGATAATTTCAGCCCTGGAATTACCAATCTCAACTGAACTAAAATGTAGCTGCTGAATTGAAAACCACCACTACATGACATCACAAGTTGGAACAGAGCATTTTGAGCATTGGAGATGTACTAACTAATAATAAAGGATTACTCAAACTTGCATGAATGAAACAAAAACACAACTCTGGGTATGTTTTGGATGAGGTAACAATATTATGACATGACTTAAAGCTCACAAGAGTAAATTTTGCGTAATATAGGAGCTTTAAGGACACGTCATGCTCCGAGAACTGCCCTGAAGTTTGTAAAGAACAGCTCCAGTTTAATGCAACACAACAGTTCCGCCCACCATGTTTGATATAGCCCTCTCCCCCTTCACTGTTCTGCATATCTCCCATTCAAAACACACCGCAACTTCTGCTGTGAAGATGCTCTGCTTAACTCTTCTTTTATCTCGGCGTGAAATTTCGCTATTGGCCCCATAGCTCCCGAAACACTGGTTCCCCCCCACCTCCTCTTTCCCTCTCTCCCTCTTTCTCTCCCCCTTTTTCCGCATCCCTCGCTCGCCCTTTCATCTCGGCTCCATTAGAAGGTGCTGATTGATCAACAGAGGCCAGACCAGCAGGGGGGGCCGCATGCTGCGCGAACGGGGCTCCACGCAAACCCGGTGACATGTATGTGGGCGAACGTGAGTGGAGTGGAGAAGAAGAGGGAGAGTGAGAGCGAGGGAGGGAGGAGAGAGGGGATGGTAGGGGGAAAGGGAGAGAATAGAAAGTTGGAAGAGGAGAGGGGGGGTGGTAGATACAGATTTAGGGAAGAATAAGAGAAGGAGAAAGAGAAGATATAACAAAACAAATGAGAAAGAAGGGAGGGAGAAGAGAGATATTGAACACACAAGATAAAAAGATGACAAATAGAGATAGGTAGGAGAGTCTGACAAAAAGAGAATATAGAGTTATATAGAGTTGTAGGAAGAGAGAAAGGAGAAAGCGGTATAGAGAGAAAGAAAGTGAGAGAGAGAGACAATGAGCACAAAATAAAAAGACATAGAGATGGGAAAAGAAGAGAGAGTGACCATAAGAGAGGGTGACATAGAGACAGAGGAGAAACATAGAAGGAAAAGGAGAGCTGGAGAGAGAGTAGAGGTTTTGAAGAGGTCGTAGATGCTCCTGCTGAGTTGAAAGAGAGGCCAATGATGATAAGTGCAAGTACAGCTCTGACACTGTTTGTATATATGTGAGCGTGTGTATCTGTGTGCGTATGTGCGTGTGTGTGTAGCGTCAGTAAAAGTGAGTTTTAATTAGCAGATTAAAGGACGTGTGGCTCTGGGAGAGGACCAGATAAGACTGTAGCTCTGTTCGTTTGTCCTAATGAAAGCCCAGTGATGTCCTTGTGAACACCACCAGTGGTACATGAGCTCATTCTGACTGACACACACACACACACACACACACATTTCAGCTTCGCAAAGGTCCAACGGAAGCTAAGCAGTGAGGGCATTGGTAAATAAATTTAAATAATATAAATAAACTCGAAATCATTGAGTTCATCACAGTCCTGCACCGGGACATTGCTGAAATGGGCGGGTTTTAATGTTCTGGAATTTTACAGGCGGGTCTGCGAGCAAGTAGTGATTACACACGGGTCAGGTCTAAACCAGGGCTAAACCAGGGCTAAACCAGGACTTATCTTAGAATTGAGACAGAGAGCC